CTGGAAACCAAACGAATCCTATATATTTCTTGCCTTCTTATAGTATCTCCTGATAGAAATGAGAAGTAATAGTTAAAAATGGCACACCCTATTTTTGTTTAATATCCCTGTTTATATCCTCATCTAAAAGCAAGAAAAAAAAAGAAAAGAAATGTATCCCTGTTTAATTACATAAATTGTAAAAAATGAGAAGAAAAAAGTTTTTGTTTCTCCTTTAGGAAGAGAGGGGAGCCAGTTTTACCTCATCTAAGGGGGCATTCTACAATGTGAATCAAAACCATCTTGTGTGAAAACAGATTGTTTCTTAAAACATAAATGCAAAAAAAAAAAAACATGTTTTCATATAATTATTTAACATCATGTTTCATAATTAAATATATAATTTCTATACTAGAAAATTTGTTTTTGTTTTAAAAGCTAATATTTTAGTCTCCACTCACCCACTATTTTCCTTTTTTTTCTACCTTTTAATGGGAAAAATAAAAGAAATAAAAAAAATCGCCTTCTATTTTGTCTCAATTTTCAATATTTCTTGGTTTTCTTAAACAAAACAAGGAAAGTCGGTTTCTTTAAAATTTTCTTTTCTTTCTTCCATTTTCTTCTCTAAACAAACCAAACTACTCCAAGTAAAATTTCAGATTATTTTTTTTAGGGTCAAACAGTGGCTTATGCATAAAGGTGCCAATCTTATCTATATAGACAACGATGCTGCACACTGAGTCAATCAGCAAACAGAACATTTTTTTAGGAGCTGAAGCCCGAGAACTCGTGTGGTCTGTCTGTGTTTGAAATCCCCGAGATTTGGCAAGTAAAAATACCAATACTTAAAGAAGGCATAAGATATATGTATTAAATGTAGTACTCTTTGTATGGTAGATGTATTAAATATATATAGACTTGAAAACAATGTATTTAAGAAGGAATTTTGCTGATGTGTGGGTTGGAAGTATCGTTTCAAAATAGTGTCTTTTTTTTTTTGTTTGAAAATGTTTCTGTCAGGTAGAACATTTTTTAGAGTAACAACAACACTTTTTATTTGGAATTACTGCTTCATGTCCGTTTTCAGCACTAATACCCATTATAGGAAGTTCATGTCACTGTCACATCACATCTTTATTTGCAGCAACAAGCTATAATATGAGAAAATGCCAAATTTGGCGTTTCTCCAAACCACACCTTCTCGATTTTCAAGACATGATTCGGAACACCTTTTTTATGGAAAAACAATTCCAAACAAACGGGCATTTCCTAGAACACCGTTTTTTCCGACATAACACTAATGTGACACTGTTTTCTATAACAACATCTATGCAATGATAATAATGATTATTTGTGGCAATTTGTTGGATGGGTCCCTTGGCACTGATTACGCCACCTGAAAAATGACATGTGGCAGCAGCTTTGATGGCAGGCCAATAGTAGTCTAAGGTGATCCAGCCAAAGGAAACGGCCGTACAGCCTGAGGAGGAGAAGGAATTGACATTGTCTACTAGGGGTGTGGATATATATATAATCGTGGTTTTCAATTTCTTATCAAAAGAATATTAGAAATTATAAATTTTGGAGAACTTAGAATTAATATATAGAAGATAGAGTCCGATCAGGAAGATTCCTAATTGGATAGGCCAGTTTCATAAATGTCTTAAAAAAAATCATAAAATTTCCCTCAAGTTTTTTTTTTTTTTTGGTAATTATCAAAACATTGTTTAGTCCAGCAGACATGTTGTCTACATCTACATTAATTGAAGGTCATTTTAAAATTATCACAATACTTTCTCTCTTATTATTGTATTTTTTCTTTGATAACTGAAATATTCATTCAAGCTAAACAGAATAATAGAAATTACAGACAGGTTCCAGCCACTAGAGAGGACTGCCCCAACAAACTGACCTATCACAAAGGACTTTTGCCTCCATGGCCACTGTATGGGCACAAATAGTAAAATTTCGGTTTCTATACAAAAACTTGATAGAAGTAAAATCCCTCGCTAAACCAGTAATTTTATCGATCCAGAACAATAAAAAAAAACGCCAGTTTATGTTAGCAGCAATTCCATTACAATCATCCATCAGAGACTTAGAATCATTAAGTCTCCATTTGTACTCCTTTCAAACTTAGCCTAAGTTTCTCTGTTATTATTGTCTATTAAACCAAACATATCCTAAAAGATTACCCAGCTATAGCGCCCTGCACAAGTAAAGAATCTAGATGTCGTTTCTTGAAGGATGCATTAATTAAAGTTTGGAATAAGATGATCTAGATCTTCTTTCAGGAGAAAAAAAATAAAGAAGAAGAAGAAGAAGAGGAAGAAACAGAAGACAACATATTAACCATGATTGGCTTGAGATACAAATAAAAGAAAAAAAAAATTGAATCCTTGACGATGTCCTATGACCCCTCCCCAGAATAAATAAAAATTTAGTGATGGTAGTTGAGACTGCCACAACAATTATGTCCACAATTATAATAGTTTCCATTTTTAATTCAAGTTTTCAATAGTTTGTTATGTTTATCGAAGACTTTTTAACGATTTGATATAATATATACATATATATATATATATACATTTGATTTGGTGATATAGTAACTAGATATTCTTCATAATAAATTAAAGAATGAATGGATGAGTATCATTAAAGTGGGGAGAAAAGTTTCATAGTTGGGCACTCGGGCCAATTAGGAAAGTTAAAAACAGTTAGGTCTGTGATTAGGGAACCCCACTAATTTTTTAGGGTGGTGAAAGACAAAAATACCTCGTGCATATGGTTATTGCTTTCTCTGTATACGGTTACTTGGTACTTTCATTATGTTTGGTTTGATAGAAAATAAGAGAAAAACAGAAAGTTGAGGAAAAATCCTTAACTAGATTTTTGAAATTCTTAAGAACTTACACTAAACTTTCTGTTTCCCTCTTATTTTCTTTCAAACCAATCAACATTGCCTAAGGGAATCCACCCGATCTATCGCCTAACTATTATTCCTAATCATTATCTATTATTTCTCTAACATTTCCATGTTTTCCTAGAATCCATAGATTGGGTTCTTACTTCTTAGGCACAGATACAGACTTGTAGACCTGTGATTCAAGCTCAAAAACTAGAAGCCTATAAAATCTAGCTACAGTCAACGTTCTAGCTCTGAGTAAAAATAAATCAAAATCAAACTAATTAAGATGGCTTACATTCAAATATTATATTCATATAAGACAAGAAGGTTCTATATATCTTCTATCTGAGTACGTAATTGGTTGCAGAGGTGGATATGAAGGCCTTTAATTTCCTCAGTTCTTAATCACAGGCATGAGGTCAAAAATCAAAATCACACCTGGTTAATTGGCGAGCTAGCTCCGGTTATAGACTGCTTAAGTACTGATGACAGAAACATCTCTAAGGCTTCAACTATATATTAATGGCATAATACGCGTTGATTAACAGTTTCAAGGGCATCCAAGAGCCATGATATACAGCTATTAGGAGTTTTGGACTCTTCGTCTAACCATATATGATTCATGAAGAAGAAGAAGAAGAAGAAGAAGAAGAAGAAAGCTTAATTTTGAATCCATGCAAACTAACTTTTGCAAAACGTCAAACAGAAAAGCATGCATGAAAGATGGCTTTCTACTTGACAAATGAGAATGAACTGTTGGGGTCGCCCAGTCATCAAGTTTTGTCTTATTGACTAAGGCCGCCCGGTCCTGATCAATATGTTTTCTTACATGTATCGTCCAGACTCCAGAGCCATGTGTGTTCAGAAGCTCCGTGACGTCCATTCTTTGTATTTTAACCAAATAAACAAAACCCATTTTGGACACATCTGGCGAATACGAATGGAAGCCCTGATTGAAAAATCAAAGATAAGCCAAGGGAAATTGAATGCGAATTGACCTTACCATACATAATTCAAATAATAAAGACACGGATAAGCTGGAAGAGTGAGAGTGTGGGTCAGTTCTTGTTCTGTTTATTTTGTTTGTATTCACGCCCAAACAAATCACCATGGGATCAACTATATAGCAATGTAGGGACCTGTGTCATTGAACCCATGAAGTCATCCTCCACAAATGGTCTAAAGAGAATAGTACAATCCTGATGATCAAACCCCAATAATGGGGTGTTATAGTCCTGGCCAACAATTAGATATTATATATGCAGTTCTCGTTGAGTCTGGATTTGCTGAACTTATATATTTTTCCTAAACCTCCGGCCGGTCAGTTTGTGACACAGAATGGAAAACATGCCACATACTGAATGGAAGTGTAGGAAAAAATATAGCAGCACATCCTAATTATTCTTTATTGGCCTATAAGAATAAGAGGAGAGAAAGGAAGAACAAGTTCAGTAAAGAAAGAAAGAAAAAGCCTATTTCTCAATTAATATGCAGACAGGTCTAGCCCAGACAAACACTATTTGGGTTCTTGTCATACACTCATACCCCATTACTTACCCATCAAAATAAAAGGAAAAAAAATAGAAAGAGATGCTGATGCTCGGAAAGTACAAATTAAGCACCAAACTAACCCTTCCGGTAGGCACCCTTACAGCCAAACAGGGCTGTTGATAGGTGTTGTAATTCTAAACCAATAACTCGTTTTCAACACATTTTTTACAGAAATGTATATATATATGTTGATATCATCAGCATAAATAATTCATAGTCTAATGCATAAATGAGTACGTAGTAATGCACTGAGTCAAGAGATATATAATTGCAGCCAGCCAAAAAACCATTTAGCTAGGCTACAGGAGAGCAAGTGACGGTAGCCACCAACCTCTCTTCCTGCTAACGCAGTTCTCAGTTTGCTCTTCTCTTTGTGAGGAATTCTTAATTCGATTACTCTATTTTTTTTATCAATATTCAACTCTTCTTTGGCCTAAGGTCATATGCCATTCGTTTCACAATTAATGCATCTGGGGTATATAGTTGTTTTTTTAATACTAAGATCAAACATTAGTAAATTAAATAAAATTAAATTTATTACTAATTTCAACTTGAATCTCACCGAATTGCGTCGCCGGCTGATTTGACATGGACCATATCGAGCTGGCTTTGCGTCACCCACTGTCTTTCTTCGGCTCTTTGATCAATACAGAGGAAATGCGTGTCCCCCTCCCCCAGTCGAGATTTCCTACCGACTCTCATCTCTGGTCTATTTATAGAGAGTGACTCGGAGTCCACTTCATCGTACACTTGTGCCCGGCACACGCCTCTTGTCTCCATGTTCTCCTCTCCTCTTCTGCTTTTTTCTTTTGGCATACTTACTTTCTCCCAAAGGTCCCTTCACTTTCCTCTCCTCATACTCTCAATCTTTAGTTAGTTCAGAACCCATTACACATATAACTCAAACAATGAGGATGACGACGATGATGTTGCTGAAGATGAGAAAATGATTTTAGGGTTTGGTAAGGAAGCTAAAGTGATCTTCTGTGGAGAGCCAGTCTTGATTGAATTGTGGCTCGAGAAGAACTGGATGACGGCGAAGACTACTTTCGCCGTCACCACCACCGTGACCGACGTTGCCACCACCATCATCTACGTCTATCTCTCATATGTCACTTGAATTAGTACTGAACTCAACCTTGTATTGGTTTTTTGAGTATGCCCTCAGCTTGGGTCTGCTTGGCGGTCACGAGGCAGAACTCACAAATTAAAATAAAATCATGCATTCATATTGTTGTATGTTCATCGCTTTATTAATTCATTGCGTGCTAATTATTTTTCTTAAACTGCTACTTTTACAGACAAGTTGATAACAAGAAAAGGATGGCTAGTGAATTACTTCTGTTAGCTCGTTTATCTTTCCTCATCATCTTCACTTGTAGCAGCGCCGCCCCGGTAACTCCGACTCCGATAACCGACACACTTCTAACTCAAGTGGCCGGTTCTCTGCAAATGTTTGTCGATGAACTCCCTCAGATGCCCAAGCTCCTGGGGTATTCAAATGGAGCCGCCTCGCCGAAGCCCGGCAGTCTCACTATTGGCATGTATCAGACCGAATGGGTATAACTTCATCCTCTTTGTTTCCTACCACCATGCATCCTTCATATATATGGAATTGCACCAACCACCAAGGTTTCAAAACCCAGATTGTCGACCGACCACCATGCATCGATCCTTAATTTGTCTCCTTTTGTTTTAAGTTTGAACGTAAAATGGAGGAAAAAATATTTTCTTAACTTTTGAGCTATATCTTCGCTTCTTTTCAACCATGAAAACCTTGTTTTCTTTATCCTTCTCATGCAGAAATTCCACCGTAACTTGCCACCAACAACGGTTTTCGCATTTGGGACGTCCGAAGATGCCGCAACTGTGCCCGGTCCAACCATTGAGGCCATCAAAGGAATCCCAACATCAGTGACGTGGCAAAATAACCTTCCTCAGACCCACATACTCCCCTGGGATCCGACCATCCCCACCGCTACTGCAAAGCAAGGTGGGGTCCCAACCGTTGTCCATCTCCATGGTGGGGTCCATGAACCACAACACGATGGAAACCCCAACGCCTGGTTCACCTCTCATTTCAGGGAGACCGGGTCAGCATGGTCCAAAGCTACATATACCTATCCTAACGTTCAACACTCGGGAAACCTCTGGTATCATGATCATGCATTAGGATTGACACGTGTCAACATTCTAGCCGGACTGATTGGCGCTTACAACATCCGTGACCCTACCCTAGAAGCTTCTCTGAACCTCCCGTCCGGACCAGAGTTCGACCGGAACCTAATGATATTCGACCGGAGCTTCAGCAGAGACGGTTCCCTCTACATAAACTACACCGGCATCGTCCCGTCCATTCACCCTCAGTGGCAACCGGAGTACTTCGGCCATGCTATTCTCGTTAACGGCAAGGCCTGGCCGTTCATGAACGTCCAGAAACGGAAGTACCGGTTCAGGTTAACCAACGCTGCGAACGCCCGTTACTTCCAACTCTCGCTAAGCAACGGGCTCTCGTTTACCCAAATAGGATCCGATGCGTCGTACCTACCCGCACCCGTACAGACACAAAGCATTCTCCTATCACCATCCGAGAGTGCTGATGTCGTCATTGACTTCTCAACTTCTACTGCCACCGAGATCGTCATGAACAATAATGCAGCATACCCGAACCCGACGGGTAGCCCGGTGGATAACCTGAACTCCAAGGTGATGAAGTTCGTCAATGCACCCGGAAACCCGAGAGCACCCGATTCGTCTAAGATCCCGGCGAGTCTGGTGAACTACAAGGCATCAACAACGGATGCTGCAGCGACGACGAGGTACATTGTGTTGTACGAGTACACAACGCCCTCTGGATCAACCACACACCTCTACATAAATGGGAAGAGATACGAGGACCCGGTTACAGAGACAGCCAAGTCCGGCAGTACAGAGATCTGGGAGGTGATCAACTTGACTGCCGACAATCACCCGTTGCACGTACATTTGGCTACGTTCCAAGCAATCAAGATACAACAACTCTCCAATCAGGCCCAGTTCACAAGCTGCATGACGCAGAACAACGATGCCGTTGCGTGCAATGTGGCTTCCTACCTAACCGGGCCACTGATTGACATTCCGGCGACTGAGAAGACCTGGAAGAACACGGTGAAGATTCCTCCGGGAACCCAAACAACGGTTGTCGTCAAATTCAATCTGGTCGACACCAATTCGCCCTTCCCCTTCGACGCCACGACGCAGCCAGGATATGTCTACCATTGTCACGTGAGTCTTCAATGGTTTTCACTGTTTGGTTCGACTACTAGTTCGGAATTTGATTCGATTTTGCTTCGGGTTTTAAACTAATTAAAGCCTATTTTTTTCATGTGTGCAGATTCTGGATCACGAAGATAACGCAATGATACGGCCATTGCAATTGGTTTGATTTGACGAGAAACAAAGTTAGATGCATGGGGTGTTTTTATTATCTGATTCCTGCTATTCCAAAATTAAACAAGTGATCGATAATAAGTGCTTGTTGATGATGGCACTAACTAAATTCTGTGACTATTCTACCAAGGTTTATTAATAATTTTGTGACTATTCCGGCTCAAGTGATCGATAATAAGTATAACCAATATGGCTTGTCCAAATTCTGTGACTATTCTACCAAGTTTGTTCAACACTAGTTTTTAGTGATGAGACACAATTGAAACCTTGCCTAAAGAGCTGGTCAGACAAGTTCTTTGGAGCAATTTTTTTGCTCACTTTGTTTAGACTTTAGAGGACATCACCATCATAATGCTACATGAGTCAGCCCCTTGAAATTTTAACAAATACTCAACCCAAGCCTGCCCATATTGCACCCTTTACAGGTAAGGGCACAAACATAAACATAACAAGTAATATTCCTACAGCACTTATATGCATAGTGTGTCCATAGGTTTGCTCATTTACATAACCTTATGGCATGGCAGCATAAATACAATCACCACAAGTGTGGGATGCCTTGTACGCAAGCCAAGAGTGACCAATGCTCTAACCATTTATCCATATTGGACATTTTCCCATGCTAGATATATCTAGAGCTAGTGGTTCATCCCTAGCTAGTTAGGGCATCAAATATAGCCTAAGCATATAATCAAATAAAGGGTACCTTTAACGAATAGACAAACATAGAAATTGATAACAGAAGAGATTAGCATGGAGGCCTTAATAGAGACTAAATCCTCACCTTATACCATGTTAAAGGCTGCTTTTGAGCCACTAAAAACTCCCCCTCCCACTCATCAGAAGAACTTCCACTTAGTGAATGGAGGCCTAAAGATTCACCTGTGAACCAATTTATAGAGAAGCATCCCATTGAGTACGGCTCCGACAAAAGGGCAAGAATAACGATGAAGAAAATTGAAGGCAAACCTTGTAAGACTATTTCTTCCATGACAAGTCTCTTGCCCCCCTCATTAATACCCTTCAACACAACTGGGCCAAGTATTCCAGCATTCCATGTCTCAAAATGTGTGCCAAATATTCTGAATTCAATCACATGAAGTTAAGCAATAGTTTATTCAAATTAAAATTTCTTCTCTTCAAGAACATCTACAGAATAAGAACAAACTAGAAGGCCAACAACTATGCTTAATAGAGAGATTTTATTAATGCCAACAATTAGCTTCACATTGTCACTAAATGTCAATTTTGGATTTTTCTAAACTTCCATACACAGTTCTTGTCATAAAACAGACAAATTGCACTTGTCGAAAACAATATAGAGAGAAAAGGAAGGGATAAAACACAAATAATTTGGCAAATTACCATAAAAGGCCACAATTGCATGCCTACCTAATAATTTACCATTGATGAAAACATGAGTTAATTCTGGAATCACCATGTGCCAGCTGGATTTGATCCACTTGGTAGAAAAAGAATGAACTGAACATACCATGTGGTAGTTAATGAATGATCCACTTTTCTATACAAACTTGGCAACTGAAAATGCAATATCCTTAATTGGTCGTGAGTAACTAAGGAGGGTTGCAACAAAGGGACAGTTAGACAAAATATCTCTCAAAATTATAATTAACTTCTCTAATATTCGAATGGGGGGTTCAACCGTTCAAGAAGCAGAAATTAGTGTGCAACATTGGGATTTCTTGGATCCTGTAACAAAGAATACGCAATTTACTAGCCCGTCCAAACTTCTGTCCACATCTTGGGTGGTTTATAGGGCTTGTGTTAGGAGAGAACCAGTCACAGTAGAAACCATTGTAGGAGTTTATCTATCGCAAATCAATAAAAAAGAAGCAACATGGATGGAGGCATATATATATATATATGTCTAGAAGTTTTGGTTGCTCAACAAAATAACAAGACAACCTGTCAAAGCATACATGAATACCATATGCCAGTCTCCATAGCCAATTAACTTCATAATATGTATATGTAATAAAATTAGAGTATGAAAAATATTGGTGAAATGGTCAACAAATAAAACAGAACCTGAAGCTTGCTTATGTATTTGAACCATTGTCTAGTCCACTAAAACCTGGAAAGAAACACTTATAACAATTGTCAATCAAATTTGATAGTCTCAACGGAATTTGGGCATGGAATTTAGTAATCTTGGATCAATTTAACAATGAGATAGTAGTTGTTCTAGACACTTTGCTTCTTTATTTAAGATAGTGTTTCAACTTCTCTTTTTTTTGATAAGCAATATTAGAAGATTTTATTAATGAGAAATTAGGTATGAAGATGCATACAAAAAAATATAACCATTCCTGCCATTTAAAATTAAAACAGAGCAATAAACAAACGCTAGAAAACTAAGAATCATAATTTATTTCTACTTTTCAAACATTACAAGCCTAAAGAAAAAGGAACAGGGAAAAGGTGTGTCAAGTTATAAGAAGAGAGAAAAAAGGAGGTCATCTGATAAGAACCTAGTAAGACGAAAAAAATTATTGGTCGAATGGTTCGGATGTTAAACACTGAAAATGAAGCAGAGCCCTTGAAGAAAACATCGTCAATTGCTTTCATCCAAACCATTAACAAAATAACAGCATACCTGAATAAATGGGAGAGAACAAAAGTTAATTGCAACTGTAAGGGAGGTAGATAGCGGCAATTTCGTTTCCGCCTTGATCGAAGATAGAGAGAGAGAGAGATCCTTTATTGACTCCGGCAACGGCAAAAGTTAAAATCTATTAGCAGTGGCTCAACGGCAAAATTAAAGTTAAAATCTACCCTCTTTCGTGAAGAAAAGAGTCCAATAGTAAATATATAAAAAATAATATAACTGAGATTCTAATTTAAAATGGTTAGACCGGATTAACCCCAATATACTGTCGTAATAAATTGCCGCCTTACTTTTCATTTTTCTTACTTCAAATTTCTACCGGCAGGTCAGGAAACACACCTTAGGCACACCTGAGCCGGTGGCTTTACAGACCACCGGCTTTGTCCATTTTTCTTGTTGTACACTGTATTCCAACAGGCCAAGGCTCACTGTTCATTGTTCTACGGGCGACAAAGTCCAACCTGAACCGGCACAAAAATGCATCTGTTTATGAGAGTTTTGCTTGCTAGGGAGATTTGCTTAAATTCAGATTTGTGAGATGGTGAGTGGTTTGAAAATTTCGAACTTGAAGAAACCAACGCAGGCATAAATGAACCCCATCGTAGTACGTAACATATAGTCAGTGGGTCGGGTTTCGTGGTAACTAAAACCGCAATGACCTGATCCCATTGGATTAGGGTCAGGTTGGCCTAATCGGATTTTGTGTCAGGTTCGGGTTGAGATACACCCGTGCTGAATCCGACCCGTTTCCATTGCAGCGTTGAAATATTCATGCTATATATAAGTTTGGTTGAGTACAAAGTGTACTGTATGTAATACAGTTCGGGTCGGGTTCAATGCTCCCTTTCCTATTTTAGTTGAGGGCAGATCGGGTTCAACTTAACAAAAGCCTAATCTTTGACATCGTATAGAAATACCAAATCATCAATCCAATCTAGGGATGGCAATTTTTCCATTACCCCTATCCTTGTACAGTAACCTGTCCCATGATTTCCCCCCACAGGGATGGATATGAAAAATTTTTATAGATGTTGGTTGAGCTACTACCCTAAGGGTCTGATCCCTATCTCATGGGGATCTTCATTTAAATTTGTATAAATATTTTTAAAAATATGGTTGAATATGTTTGAATGTATTCTAAATATGTTTGAATATATTTACCTATTCATTTTTTGGATTTTGAGAGGAAGGAAAATTGGTCAATGGAAAATTTACCCATCTTCTTTATTTAGATTTACGTGGGGTTCGTGGAAAATTTATTTTCTCTAGGCATCACTTACCGTGGGTAATTAACTTTCTCACCTGAAGGGGGAGTTGCCAACACTTGGATGGGACAAAATTGCCCCTTTTAATAATAGGTTTTTATGTTTAAAATGGCCATTATCTCATTTACCTGGGAAATAAAAGAATATGGGTAAATGCACTTACCCAGGTAAGTATAACGTGCCTTAGATCTATTTTGTTAAGATTTTAAATTATAATTATTCTATTTTTAAAAAGCATTTTTGAAATGAAATTAAAAATAAAAATAAAATGAATTTGACGTCATAAAAATGGTTGAGAATAGGAGCTCACATCTCCGCCTCACAATGCCCTACAGCACATCCCCACTGTGTATTGGGAACATCTCCCGATGATAGTACCAGTCTTGATTATGTCATCATCGGGAGATGTTCCCAATACACGGCAGGGATGTGTTGTGGGGCATTGTGGGGTGGCTCCTTGTGGGGCAGAGATGTGATCTCTAAGAATAGGGATCCAACATGGAGATGGGGATGGGGATAGGGACAAGGATGAACATTTTTGCAGAGATAGGAATGGGGATTTTTGTGGGAATAGAAATGGGAAGTGCCCCCATCCCCACCTTGCCCCGCCCCATTGCCATTCCTTTCAATCCAATTATTTGTAGTATGGTTTTTAAAACCGGACCAGACCAGACAGTTGGATCAGAAAAACCGGTCACCTGACCGATTCCGTTTTTTCCCAAAATCATGTTTTCCCCAAAACTGTTGATTTTGGTCAACAAACCACTGAACCAACTGGTTAACTGTTCAAACGATTTTGACCATTTTTCATTTTTTTTTGTTAGAACGGGCTGACCGTTTGAGTTGAACAGTCGGACCGTTCAAACCGGTAACCGAACCCCTGACAATTTAGTCGCCGGTTCGGTTTTAAAAACCATGATTTGCAGCCTTGGGCAAAAAGATGGGCTTCACTCAAGTACATGATTTTGCATCCATTCGAGAGGGCTTTCACGCAGTGGCTTTTAGGCGTTTTGTGTGAAATCCAGAAAACCAAAAATAAGTTAACATGAATTATAAATCAACTTATTTTTAATAATTTTTCAGAAGCCACTCTGTCAACACACTTCAATCAACACTGAAACCCTCCCAAACAGACTTTCACGGAGTAATGGCGACCTCAATCGTGTAGATCTCCAGATTCTCTACTTGCCGTCATCTCTAATAACGTCAAGGAATCTTGGATGACGGTTTGGGATTAGATCTTGCAGTTAGCCTAGGTGAAACCCTCACAAGTTCACAACTGTCGAATGATCGAGACCCAGTCCACTGAGAGAGGTCAGGATCTCTAACTCCTGTCAGGCTCAGAAATAGCAAACCTGAATTCAGCTAAAATATGAAATGTTATAAAGATACAAGGGTCCATGTGATTTATAGTTAGAATCAAAATCACAATCTCTCGGAATAGGAATAGTTTGATTCAGATAGGAATTAAAATCAACTGGAATGGGGTTTCATTCTCAAGGGAAGAGGAGGGAATGGCCATTCCCTCAAATGGGGAATTGCCATTCCACCATGAATAAGAATGGGATTTTGATTTCATTCAACCAAACAGTTGAAATTGGAATAGTTCAGTCTATTGATTTCAGATTCCTATTCCTGCAAATCAAATGGTCTGTAAAAAATGACCAGATTCAGCTATGGGTGTCAGTGAGTTGGGTTCATCATGTGTTTGGCTCAACCTCAACCCAATCCAAGACTGAATTAACCCAAACCTGGCCCGACCCAACTAAATGATTAGAGAATATCAAGCCCGGCCCAACCCATCCCATATATAATACTCCTATATTAAACCAATCCCATGTGTACATTGTATTTCAATGTTGCAATCAGGGCAGGCTCAGAACGAGTTCATTCACCTCAATCCTACAAGGCCAAATTTTTCTGTCTATCTATTTATTAAGATGATGTTTGGTATCGATGTAACTTTTCAAAGAAATGGTGTCAATTCAGTATTATAAACACATTTAACAAAAAAACGTCAAAAAAGTTATTTGGTTGAGCAATTTAACCAAATAAACACATTTAACAAACAAATAGCTCTCTCGAAAAAAGAAAGGGTAATAGCATATAAGGGAATCACTGTTTATCTTGTTCCTCTTGCAATCTATTCACCAGTGCAGCTGTCCATCGCCTCCGCCTCCGACAACGTTGCCGGAGATGTGCGGAGGCAGAGGCGGCGGCAGCGGCGCTGGTGGTTATTTCTCTACCCAACACTACCACCTCCGCTCTCCTCCGCCTCCGCCTTTGGCAATGTTGCTAGAGGTGGGTGGAGACAAAGGCAGCGGTGGCGCTGGTGAGCAGAGGTGGAGGCGTTGGGCAGAGAAATAACCATCAGCGCCACCGCCTCTGCCTCTTCCCACCTCCGGCAACATTGCCGGAGGTAGAGGCAGAGGTGGGCGAGGCAAGCGGCGGTGCTGGTGAATAGATTGCAATAGGAAGAAGATGAACAGTGATTCTGCCCTTTATTGATATTATTTTTCAAAAGTTACCCTATTTTTGAATTTTAAAAAAAAATGTTACTTTTATTGATATTAGGATCCAAAAGTTGCCCTTATATGCTATTATCCCAAAAAAGAATCATGAGAGTCATTTATCAAAAACACGCCAAATCTGACATTTCTCATTTTTTTAAGACTGTTTTTTTATTATTTGGCTTATATGGTGCCTATGGCGCCTAATGGTACTGAAGTGTAAAAAAATCTTACAAAATATTAAAAACAGATTTTGTCACATTTTTCAAAGCAAAATCATACAAAACATTTATTTACCAAACAACCGCTAAGTAATCCTCTCTGTAATTTTGCTTCAAATCACTATCTATTGTTGGTCTCAACAACCGCTAAGGTTGATGAGTTTAGTACAATTAGCTTGATACATCTTAACAAAACAAAAGGTAGAGGAGGACCCATGTGTGTCTATTTGTACAGCCGTTAATCAAGAAGGAGCAATGTTGATCTTCGGCTGGATTTAATAAAAAAACATAGGCCCAGAATGGGTCAGGGGCCCATTATGCCGGTCATGAGTCAATGAGTCATGCATGCAAGGAGACTTTAGGGCTGTGTTTGGTTTGACAGAAAATAACAGAAAAACAAAAGTTGTGGCAAGTTCTTAAGGCTCTATTCTTTTGCAGTGCAAACCTGAACTAGATACAAATTTTGCACCCGGTTCATTTTCGTATCGATCAATTTGTTTGTAACTATGATTTTGCACTCTTACCTTTAAATATAAAATTTATACCTTTCTATCTCATTTGCACTCATTAATATTACAATTGCATTACAACTGAGGTAAAATTTGCAGCACCATCATCCTTCTAAGTTATACCTCAATAGTCAATACCATTTCATACAAAATGGAGACTACATCATCCTTCCTACCACACTTCCAAATAAATAATCCTCCTTCCATCTCCATTCTCTTTCATATGGAGTGGGGATCACTTAATTTTATTTCCTATTTTTCCTCTCACAAACAAAATACACAGAATTTCGATCACAAATTTTGTGAAGAACTTTCCCTCAATTTTCTATTTTCCTCTACTATCAAATCAAATATGCCCTAAGGCTCAGTTTGGAAGGAGTATAAATACAAATATGTAAAGTGTAAAATCTTTATTTTTATTTTAATTTAATATACTTACACTGTATATATTTGTATTTATACTCTTTCCAAACTGAGCCTATAGAATTCGAAATGTTCTTGAAAGGCCCAAAGGTTGATTCATTGCAACGAATCAAGCCCTTCCCGAAAGGCACAAGCCTCCACAACCTCTGGGCAGTCCTTTTGCAAGGTGACTGACCGAGCAAAAAGCTAGCAAAGTTCCTTATTTGAAGGTGGTGTCGATATTTACCTAATCACTAGAATTTATATTCTTCTCATTTGTACTATCATACATTTGTCTCGGTGCAATTCAATCAGAGCCCTACATTTGTTTTCAGCGTTTGTTCATGGAAATTCATATATTAATCTTACTACCAAAAAAATAAACTGACCATATATATTAATGTGACCGTGGGTCCCAATTGAGGCACCAAGGTACAACTACAACTACCAAACTAAACCAACCATTTAACTAAACAGGACAAAAAAAATGACACTTAACAAAACTTTCAATTAGTTTGTTTAATTTGTTTGACGAAAAATAATGTTTAATTATATATATATATATATATAGGTTGTTGCTGGCTTATGGAACCAAACTTTCTGGTTCAGTTCTTTCCGTCAATTAAGATTAAAAATTACTTGAACTTCAGCTTGGATCAGACCAAATTTGCGTCACCGGCTGATTCCTCTTGGACCCCACGGTGGTGGGTTTTGCGTCACATCGTCCTTGCTCAATGCAGAGCCAAACATGCTACCAACCCTGTCTCGACCCTTCGTCCATTTATAGTGTGCATGTATGGCTTGGACGTGAGAATTCATCACCACATTCACCCCTTCTGCTCTCTTCCTCCTTACTTTCAGCAAACTTCTCTGTTCAAGGTAAGTCTGGTGAACCCCTTTTATCTCTCCTCCCCAAGTGTCTCTCTTCTTCTCAATTTAGTCTCTCTCTAATTAGCTACTAGCTCGAGATATGACTGCAATGTGGACACAAAACTCGAACTTGTACAAAGTCCATACTCGAGTTGGTTGACTTGTGTATCCACTGGTCCAATTCAATGCTAACTATTTTCTTGAAATTACTTTGTTTTCTTTTCTTCTTCCTACAGAAAAGTTGACAACGAGAAGAAAAGATGGTGGCTAAACTATTGTTAACTCTTATATATTTAGTCATGACGATTCGCAGCAGAGCCGCCACACTACCTCCGATAACTGATGCAACTCTGACTCAGGTTGCTGGTTCTCTGCAAATGTTCGTCGATGAACTCCCACAGATGCCCTCGCTCTTGGGGTATTCGAATGGACCCACCTCTCCTAAACCCGGCAGCCTCACCATTGGCATGTACCGGAAGAAATGGGTACCCTCTCTCTCTTTCTCTCTCTCTTTCTCTCTCTCTCTCTCTAGTAAGTAGTAACCAAGTTTTTCGTGATTGTTCTCGTACAGAAATTCCACCGCAATTTGCCTGCAACGACGGTTTTCGCATTTGGGACGTCGGAAGATGCCGCAACTGTACCGGGTCCAACCATTGAGGCCATCAAAGGAGTCCCAACCTTGGTGACGTGGCAAAATAAACTCCCTCAAACCCACATACTCCCATGGGATTCGTCCATCCCCACCGCCATTCCTAAAAAAGGTGGGGTCCCGACGGTAGTCCATCTCCACGGTGGGGTCCATGAATCCCAACACGACGGGCACCCGCTTGCCTGGTTCACCTCTGGCTTTAAAGAAACTGGATCAACGTGGTCCAAAAGCACATACACTTACCCCAACGTCCAACACTCAGGAAACCTCTGGTACCATGATCATACAATAGGATTGACACGTGTTAATCTCCTAGCAGGCTTGATTGCTGCCTACATCATCCGTGACCCCACCTTGGATGCTTCCCTAAACCTTCCATCTGGAGCAGAGTTCGACCGGACTCTGATAATCTTCGACCGGAGTTTCAATACCGACGGCTCCCTTTACATGAACTTCACCGGCACCGTACCAGCCATTCACCCGCAATGGCAACCGGAGTATTTTGGGCACGCCATCATCGTCAACGGTAAGGCCTGGCCCTTCATGAAGGTACAGAAACGCAAGTACCGCTTCAGAATCACCAACGCTTCCAACGCGCGATACTTGCAGCTCTCGCTAAGCAAAGGGCTCTCATTTACCCAAGTAGGATCCGATGCATCCTACCTACCCGCACCCGTACAGATGGCATCTATCCTCTTAGCACCCTCTGAGATTGCCGATGTCATCATTGACTTCTCAACATCTACTGCCACGGAGATCGTAATGAACAACAATGCAGTTTACCCATTCCCGTCGGGTAACCCGGTGGATAACCTTAACTCCAAGGTCATGAAATTCATCATTGTACCCAAAAACCCAACCATCCCCGATTCATCAAGGATTCCAGCGAGCCTAGTGAGTTACAAGGCATCGACAACAGACACTGCAACCAAGAGAAGGTACATTGTGTTGTACGAATATACAACACCATCCGGGTCATCCACACACCTCTACATTAACGGAAAACGATACGAGGACCCGGTTACAGAGACGCCCAAGTCCGGTAGCACAGAGATCTGGGAGGTGATCAACTTGACCAACGATAATCACCCGCTGCACATACATTTGGCTACTTTCCAAGCAATCAAGGTTCAGTCGATTTCCAATCCGACTCAGTTCACTAGCTGCATGGCGCAAAAGAACGACGCCGTTGCCTGCAACGTAGCATCATACCTAACCCCGCCGTCCACCGGCAATGGCGTGCCAGCTAACGAGATGACATGGAAGAACACGGTGAAGATGGCACCGGCAACCCAAACAACGGTCGTCGTCAAGTTTAATCTGGTCGAGACCAATTCGCTGTGGCCGTTCGACGCCACCACGACGCCGGGATATGTCTACCATTGTCACGTAAGTAGCCCTCAATTCCCAGTACGTGTGCATACTATTTCTTCTTTATCATTTGGACTGTACTAATTAAATGATGTTTATGTTTAACTTTCATGGATCGCAGATTCTGGATCACGAAGATAACGCAATGATACGACCATTGCAGCTGGTTTGATTTTATTGAAAGCAAGAGATCAGATTAGATGACTGTGTTTGATTTAATATAACGAGTTGTAATAAGTGCACGATGATGGCACTAATTGATTCGTAATCCTACTTAGGGATTAACAATTGTAGCCAGATTTGAAAATAATAAATATAAGGGTTTGGATTTGGAGTCTGAAGTCGGCCGGAACTGTAGAAAGATATCCATATTATATATAGGAGAAACTGCTCATATTATATTAATTAGGAAAGCAAGCTTAAAGTAAAGACTAATAAACTAAACATGAGCTTAATCTAATAATTATACGCTAACCTACTTGATTGCGGGTGTTGATACCATGGGCCTCGTGCAAAAATTCTATTCGCCCACTAACCCACCAACCCGTTTGGTCTGGGAAAAAAGAAAGAAGGAAAAGAACAGAACCCATATATTAGTAGGAAAAGAATTATGTACAGCACTCAGTAGAAATCTAATATCCTTTGATTTCTTATGCCGTGTGTTAGAAAGAAAAGAGTATCAATGTAATTAATAATTTAATGTTACTTGTGGCATCCAAGAAGGTCAAAACTTTGTGCCAGGATAGCGCAATCCATTGAACCTGAATCTAAACCCGGTTCTAAAGCCGGTTTTGAGTTAATCCTTCGTTAAAAGTATTTAGCGTTTTATGTTCTAATAATAATTTTTTTTTTTTTTGTTATGGCTCCATTTTAGGGGTGGCCACGAGCTATTCGAGCCTTGTACCACCTTGGTGAGCCGAGTTTTATCCGGTTCGATTCGAATCCATCCCTACTCCGTTTGATTGCATATGCATTGATGCAAATGCATAAGAGTGCAATTGGGCTTAGCTTAAATCTTCGTTTATGTGTTCTTTAGATTTTACCTTGTTTTCTTTGTTTTTAAGAAGTAAAATAAGAAGTAAAGTGATGTGCTCCCCAATTTATATGAAAGAGAAATGAAGTATGAGGGAGGTTATTATTTTGCATCATTTTTTAAAATATAAAATTTACACGGCTAATAGATAGATGCAAATGAAAGAAAAATTGCAAATTTTGCACCCCGCAAGAGTGCAAATCATAATTACAAACAAATGGGTTCAAAATTTTTATCTGGTTCAGATTTGCATGCATCACAAACAAACACAGCCTATATAACTAGTTTTAATAAGAATCATGTCCATGTTGAGCCCTACTTGTATTAGGTATTTGCCTATTAGACAGGTTCAACCATGACACCCTGAAAGACACGTTGTCAAAAAAACTTGTGACTAATCAACTAGTATCATAAAAGTGTTAACTAATCTAGTGGAATTTATCAAAATTCATGTGTGGGTTTTGATTTGTCTAAGCTCTTCCAGTACCCATGTCTTTGCAGCATCATAGATTCTCCTATTAGACCTATGACAATCAAGCAAGAAAATAATCAAACAACCAAAACCTATGGGTGTCATTTGGACTAGATTTGGTCCAATCCAATGTGAGTCCATTACATATGGACCAGGTCCAATCCAATGAATATTTTGGACAGGTCCAATTCAATGTTTAGACCATCCAATCTGTTCAAATTTGTTTTAATTTAGAGTAATTCTAATCCAAACCTGATTCATTGACACCTGTGTTCTTATATTTTATCAATGAATCAGATATTGGCTCAATCCAATATAAATTCATTACGGATGAACCGGGTCCAATCTAATCCAATAAATATTTTGGAGCATTAAGTCTGGACTGGTCCAATTCATTATGCCTTATTGGTCCATACAATCCGTCCAAAGTGATTTGGTTTGAACAGGATCCAATCCAAAACCAGTCCATTGACACCTCTACCAACACCAAGTCATCAACCAAACACGAGGTCAAACTAAAAGTTCTAGAAATTTATTAGTTGAGACAACCTATTAACCAAATATGTTCGCTAAGCTTATGCAATAACATAGAGTAGGCAGTGTATAAATGCATGTACAATATCTAAGAAAGCCGCCTAGATCTCCTTTACCATGACTAAGGGCCCATTTGATAACAGTTGAAGTGGCTGAATTGGATGGCTTAATATGGCTGGAGATGAAATGAAGTCATTCAATTAAGATATTTTTTATTTTGTTGATCAGACCCAACCAATTTTTATCAATTTTTAATATTCATCCTCAATTAAAATGTTGTAAAGAAGATTAGTGGTCAAAGAATTGAATATAGAGGCAAAATGAACTACGAATAAGCTGTAGATAGACAAGTGCACTATAAACCAAAGTTGCTTCTTTATACTTAGGGCTACAATTTGGGCTGGGTTAGCCTGAACCCAGCCCCCCACCCGTAAAAAAATGAAAAACCAAATTGGGTTGGGTCGGGTTGAAGTTTTGGTTAGGGTTATGGTTGATTCCAATTTAACTTCAGGTTGGGTTAGGGTAGTTGAGTCCATGACCAACCTGAACTTAACCTAACTTTATATTTGTATATATAATATTATACGAACATGTATCTATGTTTATAAATTCTTATTATCTATGCATGTATGCATATGCGTATGTGCAAATATGGATGCATCCATAAATGTATACATGTATATACTTATGTATTTTCACTACAAGTATTTGTATGTATGTATGTATGTATGTTGTAGTTAAAAATCTAAAGACAATGAAGTACTATCATTTTGAAGAATGAATATGGCATGTATGTTGTATCTATCTATAGAGCATATTTGATGAATGACAATGAACAACATGAAACACTGTCATTTTTTGTGTTGTATGTTAACATAATTATTGTGCCATGATGCATTCATTTTTCATTCTAAAATGATTGAAATTTTGTAACATGTAATTGATTCTTGTCCATAATGAATAAGAATTGAAAAAATGAAACTGATGGCAACAAACCATAGACATCTCATTTTATTAAGTGAAAGCCACAAGGCCTACAACTTTTACTACTTTACTTTATCAAAATACACAAACCCATAAAATACAAGCAGATTTTTATTGAATTCATGGCCTCTTCTTCCTTGTTCTCTTTCTCATTGAGGCTCTAGCCTTTATGTGAATTGTTGGGGCTCATTGCTCAAGATATGAGCTTCAAAGGCCTCATCATTGCATTATCTTCATGATCCAATATCTGCATTAAGAGGGGGAAAGGGAAATAGGATTGTTAGAAATGAATAAAGAGACTTCCAAATAAATCAAGATTATTAGACATGAATACATTTAGAAATCAGAACCGGATAAGTGGCATAAGTGAGAGGAGAATAGCTTACGTGGCAATGGTAGACGTAACCAGGCTCCGCTGTTGCATCGAAGGGATAGGAAGCATTTGAATGGATGAAAGAGAATCTGACTAGGATCTTGGTCACGTAACCCGGTCTCATCTTGAACACGTTCTTCCACCCTCTCTCATGAGCTGGCACCGGTTTCCTCTTGCCACGTGCATACTTGCTTACTTGGCACTCGATCGCGTCGTTCTTCATCATCATGCATTCTTTGAACTCTTCAAGTTCAACCAGCTTCGTCTGTTCCAAAGCCGTGATCAAGCCTAAGTGAATGTGCAACGGATGATTGTCACCCGTCAGATTGATCACATTCCAAATCTCGGTGGTCCCCGCCCTTGGCATCTCCGTTACTGGATCATCGAATGATTTCCCATTCAAATACAGGACACTAGGCATATCCATTGCCATTGGTGTCATGTACTCGTACATCGATATGTATCGGGTTGTAGAAGCACTTGATATATCGGGACTCGGATACTTCATCAATCTCGGTGGAACGCGTGTCGTGTCAACCTCATGTTGTCCGTTGATTTCGAATCTCATGACCTTCCCGTTGATATCGTTCGTAGGATCACCAGACGGATACGGATACGCTGCACCATTGGCTAAGATCACCATGTCGGACGTTGATTTGGAGAAATCAACGATCACATGAGCGATCTCGGATGGGGCCAGGAGGAGCTTCTTGGTCCTAACTGGTCGAGCCAGATAAGCGGAATCAGATCCAACGTGGATGAATCTCATACCGTTAGTGAAGAAGAATCGGAAAAACCGGGAATTGCTGGCGTTGATGATACGGAACTGGTACTTCATACGGCGTACGGTCATCCGGGGCCATGCTTTACCGTTGACGACGATCACATTGCCGAAGTATTCCGGGTGCCACTGTGGGTGTATGGACGGAGTATGTCCCGTGGAATTCATATAGATTGTACCGTTGGTGTAGAAGCTACGATCAAAGACGATCAACGGACGATCGAACTCGTCACCGTAGGGGACTCTTAGTGGGGCCTCGACCGGAGGATGACGGAGAATGTAGGCCCCGATCAGCCCGGCCAAGATGTTCTCTCTTGTTAATCCCATCGTATGATCGTGATACCACATGTTTCCTGGATGTTGGGTATTGTGATAGCGATACGTCTTCTTGGTCCAAGTGGGCCCTCTCTCTTTGAATCCAGCGGTGAACCATGATTTTGCGTACCCATCACTCTCGGGCTCATCGATTCCACCATGAAGATGCACAACCGTTGGGACCCCCATCTTGGGTCTGGCAGTGGGGATGGTGGGGTCCCACGGCAGTATGTGTTGTGAAGGGAGATGATTTTGCCACGTCACGTATGTCTCGACACCATGGAGGGCCTCAATTGTTGGGCCCGGTACAGTTGCCACCTTCTTGGATGTCCCAAAAGCGAAAACAGTAGTGGCTGGGAGATCTCTGTGGAATTTCTGCCAAGCAAGAACCACGAATCATTAAGAAATTATCAGATGCTGCGCGCACTACTATATTATTTATTGTAGTGGATCCCAATTTCCAAACAAGTGCTGATGATGGAAATTTGAGCTGTCCCATAATGGACTCATCACTTGTTTTATCGGGTGTGGTTAGTGGATTTATCTTAATTGACTTACTGACAAGTGACAAAAGATAATAGTGGCTTTGTCAGCCGCTGCGTAGGCTTGATTAGTTGATTAGCCAGCAAAATACAGACACCCGGACCCACCATACAAGTCATCAACTCAAATTTGACTCTGTCGAGTTATGTATACTTCCGTGCGGACACTAGCACTGGAATAAATGAACATGCATGAAGCATGATGCACACACATTGGATGGGTCCCACGCCCACCCTTAAGAATAGCTAAGATGGAACCCACGAAAGGCAAAGGGACAAAGGATTCTCTTCTTCTTTGTTCTTTGAACCCACAAGCTTTTAAAATACCCCATGGAAAACCCAGAAGCTTATAATTTCAAAACGAAAATAGTTCCATAAACAGATCAACAGATCCAATTTCTAGTTCAAGTGATGGGTTGGAGGATAGGAGCTTACCCATTTCTTCTGAAACATGCCAATTGTTATTGATTTCGACACAGGGACACCGTTTTGAATGTTGAAACCTCGAACTCTTGGCATGTCTGGGAGCTCGTCCACAAACATTTCCAACTTCGATGGGTTGATTAGTTTTGTATCTGCTGCCCATGTAGTAGGAGACCATGACAGGACTACAGAGAAGATGAGCAGGAAAAGAAGAGCTCTCATGGTATCTTTCTTAGTCTTTTTCTTCATCCAAATGAAAGAATCAAAGTTGAAAGAAAGAAAGAAGAAGAAGAAGAAAAGAACGTAGAAAGGAGAAGAACTTTGTGCAAGAAAAGTTGGTAAAGAATGTAGGTCAGTTCTGAACTCTTGTGTTAATGGGTACTTGTATATATAATCATGTCTGAGACTTTAGATTGCCTAAAGCAGGTAGTTTTATGAGATGGGGGCCATCTTTTTTCCTTAGTGGGCTTTGATGTGTCCAAAAATATTAAAATAAAAAGAAAAGTTGGAAAGCAAATAAGTAGTGCAGTGATAAAAGAAAAGGTTTTTTCTGTGGCAGCATCCATGATCTTGTGTATGATTTCTGATTTATCTTCTTTTTGTTTGTTCACTTCAGTGTCTATTTATTTACTCTTGAAAAAATCAGTGATTATTGACTTTGTGGCCTTATGGATTAGGGTATATGGCCTTTTATATAGACCTTAGGCAATGATAGTACAAGGGAATAAAGTCACTGAAACTCCCTTTGATTATATATCAGCACTAAAAACCTTAAAATTCTTTTGAACTACAAGGGCCTCCAGTCTCTGAAATTTCAGCACTGGGAATGTAGCTAGATAGGTTAGTACAGATTATTTGATGGAGGCCCCTCCAGTCTCTTAAAATTCTTTAGTGGAGCTTTATTGCAAATTTATTTGGCAAATTCTTTAAATTCACATACCAAAAGTACAGATTAGTCATTCATTTGCTCAAGATTTTTTAAATTAAAAAACACAAGCTCAACATTTGCTCTCCTGAGGAGATTCTCCTCCATATTTTTGTAAGGGTGCAAGCTTTTTGGGTTAGGGTTGGAGTTTGTCAAATTTTCAATAGGCCCAAACCAAAGCCCGAACTCAAAATAGTGTAAACTATTGACTCGGGCCAACCCGACTTGCAACTCTAATATTTTAGGGTGTTAATTGGACCTCATCCAAATCAAAATCAATTTGAACAGATTGAATGGACCATTAAGACATATTGAATTGAACTAATCCAGACTTAATAGTCCAAAGTATTTATTTGATTGAATTAGATTGACAATTGAGAATTGAGAATTGACACCCATGTTGTATTGAGTATTATTGTTCATTGGCTCGAAAATTCAAAGTTTTTATTGGCTGCCGCAGATTTTGATGGATAATGAGTGACAAAAAGTCAAAAACACGTAATGTATCAAACAGATCTTTGGGTTGATGAGTTTGCCCTCAATTGAGTATTAAAGGGAACGTTTATGTTCCCACATATACCTGAAATCTCTATTGTAGCAGCTAAAATGGTACAGCACCTAATGCCTTACTGAATCATGCTGCTACATCAGCTCTAAATGAGAAGCGATTTTCTATTTTAATTATTATTTCTTTGGGTTATAAAATTCAATAAAACCAAACAAACCAATTCGCCGATGGTGGGGTGGGTTTGAGGCGAGGCACCCATTCCTCGTCGAAGATGGAGAATCTCTAAATTTTCCCCACCCCGAAGCAACTACCTAAAAATAATGTAATTTGTTGATATTTTACAAATAGGATTATGGGAATTTTGGGGTATTTTAGGAATTAGATTATGACAATTTGGGGGTATTTAAAAATCGAATTGTGGGATCCTAGGATTATAAGAATATGAGAAAAACTTAGAGATATTTTAAAAATAAATATTAAATCTACTAATATTTTACTAATTTACCATCGGGTATGGGGAATTATATGCAAACCCCATCCCTTCCCCATCCCTGTTTTGGAGCAAAAATATTTTCTCCATCCTCACCATGTCTCTTCCCCATTCCTATTTAAAATTCGAGAAAACTTGCCCCGTTTTGGGTGGAGTAGGGTAGGGCCCTAGTTTTATAGGAAAAACTGTCATCTACTTTCTATAAGTAATTAACTAATAGTAAATTAAATAACAATAAATTACAATATTTATGATAATTTCCAAAAATTATTGAAATTATTGTTGATTAGCAAAAGTGTATAGTAAATTAGTTATATACAATAACAATAAATTAATGTGAATTAATGTAAAGTATTTACCTTTTAAGTATAAATTATTTACTATTAATCAAAATGATGTAATTTTAGTAAATTAATGTAATTATAGTAAATTACATTAGTTTTAATTAAAAGTAAATCATTTGTTGTTAATTAATGTAAAACCAAGTATGGTTGAAGTCAACTAAGTGGTCTAGACTGGTGTGGATAGATTTAATAATTTTCCTAAATTATTTCATAATTATTTATTAAAATAATAATAATAATAATAGATTGTTATTTAAATAAATATGAAACAAATTCTGATAGATTAATTTCCTAATTTAATTTTTCAAAATTTTTTTAATAATTATTTAGTTGAATAATAATAATAATAATGGACTCTTAGTTAAATAGTTTTGGATAATATTTTTTCATGGATTAATTTTCTAATTTTTTAATTATTATTTATTTAAAAATTATGCATTATTAGTTAAAGAGTTTCCCTGAATTATTTGATAATTGTTAACTATAATTATTGATTTTATAGAAATTAGTAAATTATGCCAATTAGTAATATCTTTTATGAATAAATAATTGTTGTAAAAATTTAATGAAAATTTATTAAATTACAATGATTAATGTAAATTACACTAAACATTAAAAATTTTAATATTTATTAATTAACCAATGGTTAGTTTTCACTAATGGTTGGTCAGTTTCAAGTGACCAAGTCCCTAACACAACTATACCAATTTGGCTAGCCAAACAATCTCCAACCGAACTGAATTGCCTAGTGAGCAGTCCTAATTTCAGTTAAATTAATAGTCTAATTTCTAACAAATAACAATAGTTTAATATGCAATAATTATTGAAAATTTATAGCAAAACTACAATACATAACTAATAAAAAGCTTTAATACCTCTAAGTTATTTAATCTACTTGCACTATTTCAATAATATTTATTTTTTCATTTATTTATATTTTATTATTCTTATTAAAGTTACTATAGAATTTTGTTATTTAATCTATTTTTTAAATCATGTTTAAAAAATAGTATATAAAACATAAATAATACCCTACCCCACCCCGAACGGGGCAAGTTTTCTCGAATCTTAAATAGGGATGAGGAAGAGACAAGGTGGGGATGGGGAAAATATTTTTGCTCCAAATCAGGGACGAGGTTTGCATATAATTCCCTAAACCCGATGGTAAATTATTAAAATATTAGTTGGTTTAATATTGACTTTTAAAATATCTCTAAGTTTTCCCTCATATTCTTATAATCCTAGGATCTCACAATTCCATTTATAAAATACCCCAAATTGTCATAATCCAATTCTTAAAATACCCCAGATTCCCATAATCCTATTTGTAAAATATCCAAAAATTAGATTATTTTGAGGTGGTTGCCTCGGGGTAGGAAAAATTTAGAGATTATCCATCTTTTGATGGAGAATGGGTGCCTCTCCTCCAACCCGCCTCGCTACCAAGGACGGGGCAGGGATGGGTAGAGTGTCTTGACTACGGGGGAAAGGGACAAGGAGGGGTGCCACATCCCGTGCATCACATTGGGCCCTGATAGTTATAATTACTTTTGTGCTTTTGATAATTGTTTTAAAGTTATGACATAATTTTGTTATTTAATCTGTTTTTTGTTTATGAAATAATATATAAGATATGATTTAGTTATTAATGTTTTGATACTTAAAGTATTTAAAAATAGTTGTTTACAATATTACTTAATTATTTAAATAATACCATTATTTAAAATTTAAAAATATTAATTAATTTTTAAATTTAATAATCCATGAAATTATAATTTATACTATTATTACATAATTTTTCTTTTAATTTTGTAAAATATAAAATTATTAATTCAAAAGTGATGAAATCTATTATAATTATTGTTATTTAAATTTTATTTCTTTAAAGTTATTATTTAATTTTAAATGTTTTGTTATTTTATAATTTTTTATTTATGTTTTAAAATATTAATTATTTATTAAATTTAATAACCCATAAAATTATAATTCATATTGTTATTACATGATTTCATTATGAATTTTATAAAAATATAAAATTATTAATAGTATGAATGTTATTAAACCTATTATAATTATTTTTTGTGTTTTTAATAAATGTTTTAAAAACATTTATTAAATGATTGTTAAATGTTTTAATTGAAACTTTCTTTAGATAGATATAGATGAAAAGTGGGGGAGAGGATAAATAGGAATTAGAGATAATTTAGGAAAAAGTGGGGGATAGTTAGTTTCCTAATAAAAAGGAGAGGGAAAAGGAGATAAACCATCTTAGCTGGCAACTCCTAGTGCTTCTAAAGGGAATCTTGCACCCCCTCTAGTATTGCTTGGTTTGGTATATGGAGCAAGGAGAGACTATTGACATGGCAAGCTCTACTTTAGTGTGTGTGTGTGTGTGTATAGATAGATAGATAGATAGATAGGAGATGTATATTCTAATGGTATATATGAAGAAATACATTACAATTACTATAATAGGGTGTATAGATATCATACAACTTTATTGATGATAATGCATTAATCAAGAGTCCAAAAGATATATTATATATTTTCACAAATTAATACATACACGACCATTATTATTTTATTTTCTATTAAAGTCCAAGGCAAAGAAAAAACATATGCAACTATTATATTTGAATTATTATATAAATTATTTTACATTTATCTTTTTTTAATTTTTAATATTAACAAAAAGGTCAATTAAAATTTTAATTCTCAAATGTTTGGTAAATAATATTTTTTTAAAAAAAAATAAATATGTTATTATAGAATGTAAATTAAAATATCAACTATTAATTTACAAAACTATATTATCTTAAAATATATTAAATATATTAAAACTTTGAAGATACATGTCATATGTAAATTCATAAATTTTAATTACTAAAATAATAATGGAATAATTAATAATTTTATTTTTTTAATTATCAATTTGTTTATTTAAATGTAGATTAGTGGATTTGATAGATTCAATTTATATTATATTCTCAAATAATTTGTAAATAATATTTTTATTTTTATAAATAATATTTATTATTTTTGTAAATAATAAATACATTGTTATTTAATACAAATTAAAATATTAATTAATGTTTTATTATATTTTTAAGATACACATCATGTGCAAATTTATAAAATTTAAGTACTAAAGTAATTATTTTATTG